GCGCTGTAAACGTTAATATCGCGAATTTTGTCTTAATTTTTTTTCGTGAAAATAATTACAAATCGTGGTAAGACTGTTAACTTCAACACTGAATGAAGAATAGAAAAGTGACTGTAAGTACACAAAAAATTACAAAATTACAAAAAATTGATTTGATTGAGTTTTTATTCTTCTCTTCTTAATAATCTTTCTTATTTACATATTCATGTCATCAATTCAATTATATCGTTTACACTTTGAAATTAATGTTTAAATATATTGAATAATATTTTAACTAAATTGCTAATCATGTGCGCCATAGTCATAGTCTTGTAGTAAGTCTAAGTAAGTAAACAGTCATAAATGCCAGCTGCACAAAGAGAATAATTAGAAATTAATTTAAATGATAAATCTCCTATTGTTTGAAATCTTATATTATTATGGCAAAAATTTGTTGCATATGTGGAAAAATCGAATGTTCGTACAAATGTCCTATCTGTGAAAGACCTTAGTAAGTATGTCAGAGGTTATGTTCACTATTCACGATATTTAGACAATTTTTGTGACAAATACATATCGTAATGTTGCTTACTGTAAAGTATAATTTTCATTAGAAAATCATATGCAATATATAGTATTTAAGATCAAATGAAATATAATTTTATTAAAATTAACTATATTATATTTGATGATACGATAGTATACTAATTATATCATAGTGTATTATTATCTGTTTTTAATTTACAGAATTTTTATCAATATCAAAGAGATTTAATTAAAATTTATGATCTTTTTTATGACAATATCTATTAGTATAATTTATAATATTAGAGTATAATTATTTTCTGAATACTATATTGATTTGTTCTTTAATTTAAAAACATTATTCATTTTACAAGAATAATTTTATTTTATGGTATTTAATGGTCATTCTATTAATAGTTTTATGTGTATTAGTTGTTCCATAGATTGCTATAAGGAACATAAAACAAATGGCTGTCAACCAGTGGTTCAAGAAAACAAAATTACAGAAAACACACAAAATAGTTTCAATTATGAATTTCCAACAGAGGACACAGTTCCCCTTGAAAAACTAAATCAGTTACGTCATAGCGAAGAAGTAAAAGATTGTTTAAAGAATCCACATGTACGAAATATAATGCGTGGCATTTTAAATGATAAATGTCCAACAAAAGTCATTGCTTTAGCTATGACTGAACCCATATTTACAGAACTGGCAGATGCATGTTTAAAAGTTATTGAACCTTGAGTTAATGAGTTACTATACGTTTACTTATTATATTAGATTATATATTATTAAATTTTCAACTCATGGTATACTTCTCTTGCTATTCATACAGTTAAGAAAAAGATAATATTTTTTTCAAATATAATTAAATCAAATATACTAAAGAAAATTTTAAGTGAATTTTGTTACAAATATAAATGAAATAAAAAATAAACATTTATTCTTATTTAATATAGACAATTTATTAGATAATTAATGTAAACTTTATGATTATTAAATATGAAACGATAATAACTGGATGTATGCTCAGATAATAGCGGTAATATTTTAACGCTAGGAATGACAGCATTTTCATAAAAATAAAGATTATATATTATAAACAAAAGAACAAGCAAGTCATTATTATACAACCTTTATATATAGACAAATAACAAATAATTCTTCTTAAAAAGTGATTAACAAAAATAGCAAAATATTAAAAGATCATATTAAAGCCTTGAATGAAAAGAATAATGAAGTGAAATATAGTCTTCGAGATCTGTTGGTATTTCTGTTCCATCCAATTCTTTTTGAAGAAAGTAATACCTTTTTCGAACGTGATAAGCTGCCATTTTTGGTTGCCTATCTCTTGTAAATACACCCTTTCTGTTACCACCTACTCTAATATACGCTATAAATATAAATTTATTATTAATATCCTTAACTAGTAGATTCCATTGTATTTTTTTCTCCTAGATATTTACAATATTTTTTGCTTACTTTGAGCTGTTCGAAAATCAGCAAAATTCCAAATAAATTCACCAATGAAAAATCCCTCATTTCTTAATTGATCAAAAGCTATAAAATGTTTAGACAATACTTCTTTCTGATATTCTTCGCTCCATACATATTCAGGTAGCTAGAAAATAATAATTTTCAATAAATTTAAATTTCGAATTAAAAAAATTTTTTTTAATCCAGGTTTTTTTAACTCACCTCATGTAATCCAGGCATAGTATCAGCTCCATATTCAGACATAAGCACAGGCTTATTATATTTTCTATGCCATGCTTCAGCCTCTCCTATAACTCTACTTATTATTGCATCAAGACGGCCTGGATTATTATACCAAGCGTTATAACGATTAAAGCTAATCACGTCGAGATATTCGCCTGCTTTATCTTCCTATAAAATAATCATCTGATTTTTATTAATACATATCTTTTATTTTATCAAGTTAAATAAAATTTTTAGAAATATATTTAAGAAAAAAAAAAAAATCGATATCGAGGAAAATTTGGTAACTACAAACGTACAAAGCATTTTCCTGAAGAATAAATTTTTAAAAATTTCAAGCTCGATTCTACATGAAATACAAGCGAATTAGAAGTATAATTGTTTTCCATCTAATTTGCAAAAAATCGAATTTTCGATTTATTTCGTTCTTTTTGTTTATGCAATGATTTATGTAACAGCAATATAGACTGGACTAGATATCAACGATTAATATTTCATCAGTGGATAAATTCATCTTTATATTATACCCAGGTTTCAGAGAAATTATAATAATAATAATGATAATTATATGATATGAAAGTTTGCAAAAGTAACCTGAACTGCTCGAGCCATGGCAATAGTAATTGGTCTGGTAGGATCGAGTGCTTTCGTATGATGTGCAACTTGTTTAAAGTATTCACCAGCTTCTGGAAGCTGCGTTCTTGGTTCATTAGCGATGGACCACATAATTACAGAAGGTCGATTTTTATCTCTCCTTATGAGCTCCGATAACGAGTCTTTGTGACGTGTAAGAAGGATTGGTGAAAAATTCTCAGTATCGACCGAAGGACATTCATCGATAATGAGAAAGCCTAACCTTTGGAAAACAAATATAATAAAAGATATGTGCGAGCTAAAAATAGGACTGAATTAAAAAGTTCTTCCTAATCTAAGCGGTATTTTTTATATAAAAATTTTTATATCAATCCTCATCCGTCTTTTGTGTCGAAAAGGAAGCTGCGTGGATGCTGCTGCAAGGATCCAAAACAAATAAGATAATGGAAAGACATAAAATGAAATAGCTATAGATTTACAAATATAATTATTTATCTCTTTATGTAGCTTTGCCATTCAGCATGTCAATTTCACATCAAGGGACATATTAAATTGGAAAAATGAAGGATGAAGCTTGGGAGAGAGGATTAAAAGCTAAGGAGAGACAACTTACATATTAATGATACTAGATATTTATACGATAGACAGTAAAAAATAATAATTACCGGTCAGCGATATCAAGTACCTCATCGCTGTAAGGATAATGACTGGTTCTGTAGGCATTAGCACCGATCCATTGTAATAATTCATGATCCCTAGCGACGGTGACTAAATCGAGGCCACGTCCTCTCAAGATCGAATCTTCATGTCTACCAAACCCTCGCATGTATATAGGTTTATCATTAAGTAGTAAACTCGTATTTGTCCAGGCCAATGTTCTGATACCAATTGAAAGCCTGTAGACGTCTGCTTTACTATCATTTGCCACCGACAATGTAACCTTGGAATCGTAATATTATTACTGATTATGTTTTTAATACATTTTGTAAGCTTGAGCAAATAAAGAAAAGAATTTGTAATAACGAATTATTTTATTTTAGGAATAATGAAAAACAAAGAAGAGGAAAGATTAAGTACCTTTAGAGTATAAAGATATCCAGGATTAGGACTCATACCTCTGGGCCACCAGAGCTTAGGGAATGGTATCTTTATCGTACCAGAAAATCCATAAGCAGGCTCCTGTACGGCTAAAATATCTTTAGCGTCGAATATGCTTACTCTACATATAGGAGTATCATGCTCCTGTAAGCCTGCTGGTTCAATTATATATTTTACGATGCCAGTATCACCAATTAATCCTGTCCTTACAGTAATATCTTCGATATAGACACGTGGTTTCGTATGCAGCAAAACAGGTCTGTAATTTAGAAAGTTCCATTGGTATTTCAATTTTATCTTATTGCTGCCCTGAAATCCGTACTCTTTTGTTTTCGTTGATCGCATATCTTTTGCATCTGGTACCTTTTATTCTGCTCTGGTACCATGCTTTTGTTTGTCTCATACACATGTACTCATTTCTATCAGTCTGTTTGTCACCGTAAAATTATTTTTACGGGTCAGTGAAAATCGAGTTTTGTTAAAAAAAGCTAACTCAAACTTTGAGCCGTTTTACAATAAAAAATATAATTTATTTGATATATAATTTATATTATATTAAAATATATGTAATTATATATTTTATATTATATTTATTCGACTTTATTTTATATATAAGATTAACCAATATAAATTATATATTATCCATATAATGTTAAATCCGATGAAATATTTTTTTTTCGATTTGCTTCAATTGTTGAAGGTACTCGACACATTTTGTTGATAAGCAATATAACTTGTATCCACTTACCTGTGTATACCAGCATAGTTGAAAAAGTCAAAAGTATAAGTTTGTAAGTGCGTCGTTCCATTATCAACGGGAGTATCGATGATTTTTCCTTGTGGAATACTAGTCTGTAGCAAAGTATTATCAACAGCAACAGTTATGCGATTTTTACCTCCATAAACCAAATATGAAGATATCTCGGCTTCGAATGGAAGATGACCCATTTCATGGTTGGTTGCAAACTCGTCGTTTACCCACTAGAATATAAAAGGAAAACAAAGAGATGTTAAGCATTTTAAAAATACTCTGGCCTTTTATCTTTAAGGCGAGATATTTATCTATACCACATACAGTATTGTAAAATTACATTCAAGACTTAATATTCATCGATAAAACTAAAATTTACAATTATAGATATTCACATCGCAGCATCGTCTGTAAATGTGTCAAATATTTAATAAATATATTCTACCTTCAAATAAAATAGTTTATTTTAGTTTTAATTGTCAGGCAATTGATTATAGGAATTTTGCAGAACACAAACGCGGTAATACTATTTATAATATAAGTGTATAAATATAAATTAAAATTATTTGATATCAGTAAAGTGTGATCCGATAAAGAGCTAACCAGAATTGATCCAATATTTGGAAATTGTGTGTGTGTGTGTAATTAATATATTATAATTAATGATATATATAATATTACTTAAATTAATAATAATATATAAATTAAGATAAAAAAAATAAATATATGTATAAATATTCAACTTTACTTTATAAATATTTAAAAATTTATGAAATAGAAAAAATTATCTTAAAAGTAATAAAATAGTAAGATAATGTAAATAATGGAAAAATATAATATAATAGATATAATAGTTACCACTTGTGCAAGATAATTGACTGAACCAAATCTGACAAAGACTCTTTGTTCTTGCCAAGAAGAGGATACGAAGAAAGATCGTTGATACCAAACAGTTCCTACATGATCTCTTAGTTTTCTGGAGGTTGTGATATCGTTATACGACGAAGGTACTGGCATTTGCATCACCTTTCCTACCTAGACGAAGTGGTATGTACACCTACATAAGTGAATCCTCGTTGACAACATGTAATTTCATGAAATTTATATTTACGCAACTTCAAGTTCTGTATGCAACAGTCATTTATGTTGTTATACAAGTTTCAAGTCATTTTAAACTGCACTATCTTTATTTTACGTTTCGCATCTTTCGAAAAATTTTGTAATCTAAAGTCAACTTATAATTTAGTGAAAAATCTATGATTATATTACATGCATTGTAACATAATCTCTACTAATTTACCGTCGATAATTTTAACGTTCTAATTAGATTGCAGGTGTTTATGCAAATTCATATTTTTATTGATTACGAATTAAAAATGAACATTTCTTTTGCCTACAAAATACTGTGATGAATTAACTTCTGCTATAAGAACTTTTCTCCTATTAATGTAGAAAGACTCGAATTATAATTATAATAAAAATGATATTCGGTATGATTTTTAATTTGAAATTTAAGTTAAATGAAATTTAAGTTAATCAGTTAAGTCAAATTTAAGTTACTTTAATTCGTTTAATTCGATGAAGATATGCTGTACTTTCATTAACAATAAAAGTAATAAAAAAAATAGTGCGATTTTTTACGATACCTTCGACAATTCATCGGCAAACCATGCTTCTCTATAACCCTTCAGCGCATCTCCTGATGGAGAGATGACAAAGTCCCACATACCATCCAGAGATTTCACCTCAATAGAAAATGAATTTGTTCATTTTAATTTCAAATTGAATAATATATCAATTAAATTAATTGCAATTAATATTCAATTATAAATATCAGCACTATGAGCATCATTACTGTAACGTCACATGATTTCCAGTTTTGATAATCAATGACATTGTGATTTTCGTGATTTTCACCCATTATAAACGCTTAATTCTTTGGGTAATACTTGCTGGTTCCTCGTAAAAATAATCGCTCATTATAGTGTTGATATTATTACGAACTGATTTTGTATTATCAGATTAATTTGGATTTGAGACATTACAAATAAAATGTGTGTAGCACTGATAGAAATGAAAAAAAGAAAATTTCAAACTACTTCTCGCGATTCGCTTTCCCGCGGATATAACATCCCGGGAAGTGGCGATGGCGCATCTTTTTCCTGGGGCAAAGGTGAATATTCTATCGGAACTTCAGGATATTCGATCTCTGGGCCCGATTCTCCGGCCATCGCGGGACTGATTAAAAGGAACATTAACTGCCACATTTTTTTCTAATTTATCTGAAACAAAATAATCAAATGGAAGATTAAATAGTATTGCTATACACTTTTTATCTCAATAAGTTATTACATTCTTATTTTTTTCAGGAACATAATCATGTACTTGGAAATTTCTATCTTTCTTCGTGCATTATATCTACCTTTGATTCAATCTAAAGAAGATATTTCGACATTTTATTGTAATGATAATAAACAAAATTTCAAGACATTATAATCGTTTAAAATAATTTTGAATCTTGTCGAAAACATGTTTATAAAAAGTTTTGAAAAATTTTAAAATATAATGATTTTTTACAGTCGTTTAAGATAGCCTTAAGTTTTGTCAAAATTTTCCTATTTAATTTAAAGAAGAGAAAAAGAAAAGGAAAAACGGGAGAATAAAGTCGCTATCCGTGATTTCTGAAAAAGTGGCATGTAAAATTTTATTCAGTTTATGTATTACAGTTAAGAATAGTATGTCCATTCTGTATAATTTTTTGCTCAGAGATTGCTCATTAAGTGCATAAAAAGTCGCAGTCTAATTATTAGATAAATAATTAAGAAATTAGAAATCAACATCAAACATGTGGTAAATATAAAACATTAAATCGAGACTATGTTTAACATACGTACATCTAATTTTCAATTTTTCAGGATTTTGAAATTGAAGTCGCTGAAGAAATTTAATCGAAAACATTTAACTGCCAATCAATATTGTCCAACAGGTAAAGGTAACATTCTCTAATGTGTTATACGAAAAAGAAATTGCATTACACGATAAGTTGGTTCTTAATGGGTTAACTTAATATAAAAGGAGGTGTAGCTGGTGTGTACCGTAGGGTCTCGTTCACAGCAATATCGGCTTCCTGGCACGGTGCCCTCCTACGAGAGCAGACTTCCCTTCCCAAAGCATCAAATCGTTTCCTCGTGTCGCACATGTACACCGTTGTCGTCGCTGTCCCTAATTCTTCGAATAGACATCATGAAAATTTAACAATTGCCACTGTCTATATAACGATGGGAATAATATTTTCGCAGACGGTATCGATAATGGCCACGAAGTGTATGTATGTTTTGCAAATATAACAGAGCCTCCCATATCCGAACCAATGGGGAGACAAAAGTGTTTGATTAATAGAATTTTCAGATAATAGTATAATCACTTTCCTCGTATTAAATTAATATTAAATGTACCAGAATGAGGATTAGAAAAACTTATCAGTTTATTTTAACAGATTTAATAATTTATTTAATTTTAAGAACATTATACGTTTCTTTAGTATCTAAATTTTTTCAGCATAAATAATTTTGTACAATTACATTCTTTTTGTGCTTCGAATCACTGTTTCGTGATGTAAGACACATACTTGTCTTATCAATCAATCAATCAATCAATCAATCAAT